AGCGCCCTATTTATCGTAATCACTTCAAAATGATAAAGAGAAACGACTACTCTCCGTTAAAAAAATTACACACAATTGTATTTACTTCGTGAGACATGTCAACGATTTTCAAAAGAAGCGAAAGAATCTTTTTACAATTATTTCACCCCTGTTTTGTGACGAACAAAGTCAGTTATGATAAGAAAAAGGAGAAATGTTTGCTTATAATTTAAAGATCCTTTTTTTGCAATCTGGAGGGAAGTTTTGTAGTTGAACTGAAATAATCTCCGAGTGTATAACACGAACCGGAAGTGCTCGCGAGCGGCCGTGCTATGGGTGCGCAATTCACGTCGACGCGCTTAGACTACCAAAACAATCTGCGAATTGAAAGAATATAAGAGATAATGGGGAGCACATTTCTGTAGCGGAACTAGGACTAGACTCGGAAACGGTGGGATGTGTCGGGCTGTGGCGGTGGCGGCGTTGGCCAAGTTGGTGGCGTTGGCCAAGTTGGTGGCGTTTGGCCCTTTAGAACATCCATCAATCAGGTGTAGTTTAGTGGCCTTCGACTTGTTATGGCCTGCGATCCGGTCTGATCAGCCCGAAAGCGTGCTGTCGATACAAGTGCTTCGCTGCACTCATTACTCCTGACAAAGCTCACCGATATTGCTGACGGTTATCTTCACACTCTGTCCTCATTTAAATAATTAAAAACAAGCCGTAAAGGGCCCACTGGCTATGCCCATTCAAACGGCGGTGGCGGCCCCTGCTTGCCGCTATCGGACAAGCTCTCTAATTATAAATTTCACGTGTCACACGCTATTCAAATGCGCCCGTTGAATATATCAGAATTGGTGCGTCTATTCACCCTCGAGGACGATTCGTAAACAGAGTGCTAGCTTTAATCATCTTATGTGCGCGGGCCTGCCATTTATTAATTAGAGTGATGTATAAACTGTATGGGCTTTGGCTAGGAATCTGTGTGTTTCAAACGAATGCGGCCGATTGATGTTAAGCGCCTCGTCTGTGCTGCTTACTGTGCTTACCGACACACACGCACTCGCATAGATTAACAAACATTTAACCACGATCCAACGGGGAACCTCTATGGCCAGTAGTCTAATCATTACTTCAACACTACATTCGCCCTGCTTCGCCGCGGCAAACACTGATCCAATAACGGTTTCTTTCCTTTATTCTCTGCAATAACAACCTGATAATTTCCAAATGTAGCGGAAACCGACACAAAGTAGCCACTCACGACCTAAAACAACGCTAGCGTGACTCCTTGCTCCATGCGACGACACAAAATCCTAAATGCTGTTTCATTTTTTCCTAAAATCTTTTTTTATATATACAAAAACACCAGTTTGAGATCTTTCATTTCTGCATTAATTCTAATTTTGTATATGTCGTAGACTAATTGTAAATTCATTGGTTTTATAAAACGCCTAGTCATTTTAAAAACGACTGGGCAAATTGTAAATGAATGAATAAATGCATGGTTTTTACAATATGACGGAAAATTTTAGGCGTATTACGCTTAATAATTTTCGCCTCATAAAGTACGTATGGTTAATTTACTGTTTACTACGACTGAAACAACCTGCGTCACAGATTAACTTTAAAAAGTTTATTGTAAACTACCTCTTACTGTCTTCATGACTGACATTTGACAATTAAACTTTTTTTGTTGTTAAAATTGTCAATTAAACAATTTGTCTGTCAAAATGACATAAACATGACAAGAGTAAAAATTGAGGTTATTAATGCAAAGGTTGTTTTACAGTTTACGTTATGAAAATGACAATACTTCCCCAAATTTTAATTCCGCAACTGTACGATGAAATTATAAAGAAAATTTATTTGTTTTCTTGAAACATTTTTCCTTTTTTATAATCATTAAAAACGTTTAACATTTGACTTTGTTTTTTTAATAGAAATACAATAGAAATTGGTATCTTATAAAATAATATTTTTCAGTCTTTTACAAAACGACTGAATGTAACCAGTGATTTTCTAATTGTAGAATATTTAAAAACATCTTTCAATAAGACGAAAACTTATTAGGCTTTTTAAAATACGCCTAAAATTTTCCGTCATATTGTAAAAACCTTGCATTTATTCATTTATTTACAATTTGCCCAGTCGTTTTCAAAATGACTAGGCGTTTTATAAAACGACTGAATTTACAATTAGCCTACGACATATATATTTTTAACTTGTATAAGAAAGTACTACAACTTTTTATACATTTTCTAAATAAATATAAAACACTGTGTAGGTAATTTATTATACCTATAAATAAGTAATGAGATGACTTTTAATATTAATTAGGAAAATGGCAAATTTGTATACGTTTTACAACAGCACTTTAGAATAATACTGTACATGATTTAGATTTGTTGTAAATGTAGAATATTTAGGTTTATTGCGCTTTGCTTTATTTGTTGACATCTGCTTGAAAGGCTTTTGTGTGAATTGAATAAAGACAATATTAGAATTGGCTTATCGTTTATTGATGTGACAGTCGAGTGTGTGTACAGTTTTGGAAGCAATAATGTTATTGCATGGTTAGCTTAAGAGCTCATAAACTACGAGTATAAATAAGTGTATTTATTGTTTGGGATGCGGTCACAATTTCAAGAGTTGGGCTAAAATATAAGAGAGTATTGAGAGCTAAGTTGGTGTGTGGTGAATGAGGGCACGTGCGAACACCTTATCGTGTTTACACCTATTGGCACCTGATATCGAGCGTTTCTTTACTTGTTCATCAAATAGATTGCATTTGATAAATAAAAGAAATATTTAATGGAACGGAACATTAAAATTCCGTGAACTGTTAAAGTAAAGCTGGAGCTCATTTAAAATTCCTTAAGAAATAAAGTTGAGATTTTTGAAGTACAAAACGTACACAATAATTTCAAGAATAATTTTAATTATTAAATGAAGTGAGTCGTTGACGAAGAGACAGGTAATAGAGGCAATGCAAAAATGCTTTTCAATGTAGATCCATACGCTTCAAATATAGAAAATGAAAAGTAACGCTAGCACATAAATATGCACGTAGTACTTTACTTATTGTTAAACAAACTGCAGCGTGAAGAAGCATTCAAAAGAAGGCACCAAGTGGGCATGAGGTCGGGCATTTGTGAGCAGGATGTTGAATGAGCGTCGTAGAAGTCGCATTATGCGGCCACATGTTTCTGCCTATCGGAAGAAAGCAGCCATCGATGAATGTCATATGTGGAGCAATCACGCGTATGCCAGAATGGACGGCCACTCCAGACTAGTATATATTCTAAGGCCGAAACATAAAGAAGTTTAGTATGCGCTGCGAAGGTGTCAACCGGCCAGAATATAGTGCAGCTGATAAAGAAGCGCGCCTGTCACTCAACCTCTCCTATTACAATACTTTCTCAATTTCCGTAGAAGTGATGTGACATTCCATCACGATGTCACAGTAAAGTAAATTAACAAAGCGTTGCCTGGCTCTTAAATAACCCTATCTTTGGTGTGCTTTTACCCTCTTCTCGACATCATGCTATTTTCAAATTTATTTGGTTTTTTTAATATTCTCGCCTAGCACCCCAAATATTTAATGATTTTAATTTACATCTTCCTACCAAAATTACATGCCAATTCTTTCAGCATCAAAACATTTGCATAAAAAACATCCGCTCCAATCGTTAAGATTTACAAATTCCGTACCCTCTGTCTTTGACTATTCCTATAGTCACTTGCACCTTGATCCTTTACTTCTAAATTTATAATAACTTTCTCGGGTTTGGGTAACGGTCTACGTAGCAGTTGCACCCCAACTACCTTCGTCATCTACCATTCCACGATTAGTGTTTGTATACGTATGTGTCTGCACATCACACAGACGTTTTTAATGACATGCAGTACCAGCAATTAATAACTCAAATACTATGATGTCTGTCTTCTAGACATATCTACATATTATATACCACGTTTCTAACCTAACATCACCGTTGATTTCAACTTTAAAGCCACTTATGCACTTCTGTTCCTACAGCAATTCATCAAATTGTGTCCCCTAACTCATGTTAAATCCTAACACACAGAAGGACCCGTCATGTCCAATTTATTCACCAAAAATAGAAAAAAATTGCGGTCAAAAACACAAAACAATTGAAATTTAAAAACATATTTACTTCCATGCAGAAATGGTATTATCATTATTATAAGGTTTCTAGAATATTTTCTCCCAGTACATAAAAAAATGGTGATCTGCTATGGCTTGCAAAGTTATTTTGAAAATAATGCTTATGGTTAATGTGCATATTTGCAAATATTCTTCCTTTATTTTATAACGTTAATTATTCGCAGCATTTGTGTCGTTTTAATAATTTCAAAGTTACAGTTGAATTTATTTTATTTTAATTTCAAAGTGATGGTTGTAAATGTTTCTTTTAACATTGCTTTTGTTGCTGCAGTACCCGTATGAATCTAAAGTTTTATTCATATTGTAAATGTTATTGTAAATATTGGGTAGGTCGTGACATTAAGCTTAAATAACGTCACAGCTGTTTTATTCCGTTCGTATGATCAATTGGAAAGTGAACATCAATAGCTTTACTTGTGGTTATAAAAGGATGCTTTGGATATTTTTGTTTTTTTTGTCACTTTAAATAGACTTGAATCCTAAAATAGCGAGTCACAAAAGTTGTATAAATAGCTTTAATGGCTTGTCTTTAATTAGGAAAAAAAGTGTTGTTGAGTAAAGTCTGTAAGTTTGAATCTTTTTAAGATTGAAAGCTCTATCAACGCTCGAAAGCATTGTTGAATGGTCGATGCAAAGGCATTTGATTTATTACATATGTATTTCAGAGAGAAGCAAGCTTCTCTTTGTAGCGTGATATTTGGAGTTCGCATGCTAATATATATAAAACACACAAGAAATCGTTGGTATTGGAAATTCTGTTTGAGGTTGTTGATAAGAGAGGAGCCTCATATTGGAGAAGTGCAGACCTAACCGAAGTTAATGTCTGTTGCAGGGCCATGGGACTCAGCGGCCAAATAGCCGGGGTGGATTGAGATCGTGCAACCATGCATATCGTGGAAACCCTTCCGACGACTGCGACACTCCTAGTGCACATGCTTTTGATGTTTCAGTTTGAAGGTTAGTTATCAGCAGCAATACATGGAGAATCATCCATATTATCCGCGTAAATTATTTGTTTTAATTTTCTGGTTCGTGTAGGCTGTTCAGCGCTTTTGTTTCGCCGGCCTGAATAATTAACTAACCACCTCAGAATCACAATTTCACTACGTGTTCGGCATCGCAACGGGTTTTGGCCCATTTACGCTCTCGGTATACTTAATTAACGAGCTTAGATTGAATATGATCGTCCTCAAGAGCAGTCCGGATCAGCGCTCATAGCCCGGGCCGCAAGGCGTCACCGATGCTCTATGCCTCTATGCAGCCTGCATAAACGCATTACACAATAATTAAATTCCATTTCGGTCACATTTATACTGTGTGTGGTTTGTACAGTGCAATGCCACATACTACCCCGTATTAAATGGCGTTGCTTACACCTATGTTACAATTTCACGCGTTCGTAATTATATTACGATATCTGCATAGCCCTTACCGTGATACTGTTTTCCGTTTATTACCAACAATCAAACCGGAACTGCACACCACACTTACTCCTCACTTTTAAACACACACTCGGATAATTTGATTATTTTATTTGCGCGGAGAGCAACGAACGTAATGATCTACCGGCTAATTTACTCTGTCACGCAGATTAAGGGGCCTTGTTAGATGGCTTTTACTTGCAAATAGTTATTCAGAAATATATTTGTTTTAAGATTACTACGTGACACGAAACATTTTATAAAATTCTGTTTTAGAAAAACTATATAAACTGTTTACATTTATTTTACTTTCATCACTTTTATGAAAAAACTCAAAATACCCTAATCATCTCTAGCAAAATATCCAGTTGCTGGACATGTATACCAACCACATGGGAAATTATGCAATGGATTTAGAATAGCACTAGCAGAACAGTGGTAATAAACAATACGCTCTTTGAGACATTATTAAAGTTGCTTCAGGAAAACAAAATTTGCTACATAGTCAATGCTGTTTGCTAGTCATTTTGATAATTCTTAATTATTTTAATTTAGGATTTTAAGATTTCTAAGTTGTTACGATGTATTTTGAATTTTAGAAAAAAATAATAAGAGTTTTACTGTAAATTTAAATGATTCTGACTCCTCTTGTAGTTGTGCTATGTTCTTTCAGGTGTGTTAGAGTATGTTTTAGTGCTAGTTATTGTTTAATTTTGTTGATTTAAATTTAACGAGTTATTTTGAAAATAAATAAATGAGTTACTGAAAACGTGATGAAATAAATTTGATATTTGCAAAGATTTGTTTTTGGTGTGGCTGCAAATACGTCGGCAGATTTTAGTTAATCGCAATACACACATTAAGTGTCAGTTGGTGGTTTTATATTTTCATTTGTGTTTATTTTTGTGGCGTGTTCATATATGAAGACTCAGCGAGTGAAACAAATGTAGAAATGTACTTTTGATGTAATAGAGGTAAAGTGAGAGCTTCCCGTTTTTCATTAGTGTCCCATTGTTTTAAATGTAATTTTAGTGAAAGTTGGTTAGAGTGTATATTTTTTGGTCTTGGGTGGCTCATCAACTGTCAATAGCCTTGCACGGTTTTGTAAGCTGCCATTTGCAGATTGAGATTTAGCAGCCACCACCGTCCGAAACAGAGCCACCCTAGCAAGCCTCTCATCGCTAATAATAATAAGGACTTGTCGCTTGAAAACGACTAGTGCAGGCGGCGATTTGCATGTATAATGCTCGAAGCGGGGGTGGAATGCGGGCGCAGGTACAATTGTGAGAACCTGATATACATACTTGTATTGAAACCAGCACTGCACCACCACTTGCATCCCACTGTCTCACCGACAATTACAAGTGAACTCGGCGCGAGTGGACCGGTTGAGCTTGCACCCTTGGGTTTTAGTGAAATTGCTTTTTACTTCGAGTTATTGTATGACATCTGAGATCCACGCGCCACAGTTTCCACAGTTTCTTTAATTATCATTACCTACACTTTTATGTTGTTAATCCATTTAACGTCGGCTGTTGACTGTCTCGATAGACTGTCTGCTCTCACCGCACTAAAACACTAAAACACTAATTGACTTTGTGACGTAACGATTTACACACATAGACTGACTTACTGTTCCAGACCATACCTCAATCACCAAAATTAAAATCAACATGGTTTCATTTCATTTATTGACTCAGCTTTATGATTACTCGTACTTGTCGCAGTTCAGAACAATTTACTCAAACTCTGAATATTAACTATATCGTTCTCTTGCTTCTTCTTTTTATCATAATCAACACAAATTTAAGCAATTAATACAACATAATCACACCAACATTATATAGCAAATTTAGAACACAGTTTATGAATTTTGTTGTTTTGCCTGCTTACAGATTGCAACTAGTTGTGTACACACAACTTTTGCTTTTATAGGTGCCTTCACTTTTTCTTTAACCTTGTTTTAGTTTTTTTCGTTTACAAGATTTGACTTAACATACCGTTGTATAATTTTAAATTTAATGTGATACCTATTTCGTTACAACAGGTTTCTATCAATTTTTTGAGAAATTAATATAATTTACCGTGTTTTGTTTTTGGAATATATACTACAAACTCATAATCATGTAGATTACTTAAAAAGCATACCGAAATTCTAAACAATAATAAATAAATTTAAATTTCACCTTTTGCATTTGTATTAATTTTGGTGGATGCGCCGGGGTACTATTTTCTTTTCATCAGAGTACCTAATGCTAAACCCATTTCTAATTTTTTTTTTATTAGAAATTTTAAAAATTTTATAGTGTTACGTCAATTTAACATTAAACAGGCAATTTAGTTTCATTGTATAACAATTTTAAACTTAAAAATTTTATGTAGTTAGATGAATAAAATTGTTAATATACCAGGTGTCCCAAGTTGCCTATCGCATCTTTATAACTTAGTTATTTCAAATAATATGAGCCATAAAGTTATATTTTTGTAAATCGGACATCAAACTGGATTAAATGCCGCTGTCAAACTGGTGTAAAAATGACATTTGTCAAAATAACGATAGACAACTATTTTTTTTTAAGGGACGGTATATGTTTTGTTACGTATTTTAATAGAACATGTTTTTTTGAATGCGTGTAAGCACAAATATTTGATTTTTTATGACACATATTTTTTCAATAAATAAACAAACAAATTAATGAATAATAGTACCTTTTTATAATATAAAAAAATGACATTTAAAAAAACATGAATCAAAATATTGTGTATTCAAAATATTCGAAAGTCACTTATCTCTCACTTATTTACTACTTGAATGCAACAATACAAATTTGAAAACAGCAAAACCCAACTGTTAAGAACTGATTTTGTGACTTACTTGTTGATTTTGTTTTTCATGGATACCTATTTTGTGACAAATGTATATGCGCTATATATCTTTTTGGCGACTTTTTTTATATTTATTGGTCCTTAACACGTGCAATAAATTTAACTAGGTGCACAAATGTTTCTTGCTTAAAGGCTCGAATGAATGCTTCAAAAGCTTGATTATAATGTATTTCTGAATGGTCATTTGTAGTGCAAACGGGAATGGAAAGGTATTTTTGTTTAGTGTAATGTGAGTAGCAAATTTAGGAAATCTTTCATAAGGAAATAATTTGAATGGCGTTGAATGTGAACTGAAATGGAAAGAGAATTACGGTTACGGTTAGTGTGACAATACATTTTTTTTTAGTGTGCGAGTTAGAAAATTATCCGCTAGTGTTTTGAACAATGGAGAAATTAGGTGGGTCATTTTTGTTTGGTTGTAATATCAAGATGTAACAGATTTCGATAGTATGGTTAATTCAATTATGCATGATGCTTCAATTTTTGAAATAATGGATAATGATGAAGGTAACCATGGTGGTAATAACTGTGATTATTAGAAAGCATATTGATAATCTGTATTGTTTTTGACGTATCAGCGGCAGTAAAATGTGCTATTTGGTGATTAAGGCATTAGTTGGCTGGTGTAGCAAAGTAGATAAAATTTCACTTTGTGCTGTACATATCGGATTTCTATCAATTGCACTTATGGGAATGGGTGTTTGACTTGTTTGTCCACCGGGCCCCCGGGAAACATATAAGATTGAGTGTTATTACTCAACGCGCATAGTAGTCACTGGGGATCTTACAAATCCCCGAGTTATACGAGGCCTAGTTAAAAGGAGACTATTACACTGCAAGTCCGGGTAGCGACCATTTGAATTGAATATCTCGATTCGGTTCACAAATGTTCAACTATTGAAAAAGTACCAACACTAGCGCCATATAGCAATCAAACCGGCTACTAAATTACAACTGACGTTATCGCAAAAACTGGAGATTCTGGAAGTGTCGGACCCAAGTGGATTACAGCCTGCGATGGCCACGCGCTGACGGCTCGAGTTATTGGCCTTCGTCGATTTCAACGTCCCGTGTCATATCTCTCCTGCTCGTCGTCGTCGTTGCTGTCGTCACCCCCTTGTCTTTCCAAAAACTGGATATCTTTTTCGACACACGATAAACAGTTGTTCAAACGTGTACATAAAAATTGATTTATGATACCCACTAACCTTTTTTAATTATAAATGAAAACGACTTACGCTATTTACTCTTTTTTTCCACATACGCACTTATCCAAACCTGAGAAACTTGAGAATTAGGAATTCTTAACCACAACCAAAAAATGTTTGTACACACACGTTATTGATTTTGTAAACATGGATCTAAAATATTGTTATTAAATTCGTCGTTAAATTTAAATGTGGTAAATGATTTCATATAAATTTTAATATTATATTTCTTTTATTTTTACGTTTCTGTCTTTAAAAATAAAAAGATGCACACTACTTATAACAAATATTCTCTTGAAACATATCGTTTTTTATTAAGATTTAAATTTTTATTATAAATAAATAAAAAGTTTTGTGATATTTTGTGACACACTCAATTTAGTGATCTGTTGCAAAAAATGTATTGTGAAATGATTTAATAATTTTGTTTATCGTTTGCTCA